AAAAAAGGGGAACAGAAAAATAAAGCGGTCATTAACCTGTTGGCAGTCAGATAAATCTCCATGCTTTGAAGGAAAATAGACTTGCTGAATTCAAAATCCAGGCGAAAAGCCACCTGCGGAGATGAGAAACAGATTGAAGAAAACACTGAAAAAAGAGACAGCAGCTGTGCAGCACGCCAGATACCCTCATCCTCTCCCGTCAACCCCGCCACGGTGCAGTCCTCTCCCATTACCCCTAGTACAGCACGGCTTTCCAAAGTGCAAGGGAGAAGGATCATGCCTGACACAGTAAGGCAGATGTTGAGCAGACGCCTGCCTTTCCATGTGACATGGCTACTGGGATTTCACTTGTTTGTGCATCTTGTTATCACGATTTGGGGGTTCTCACTGTTAGTTTTGAATTGAGAACAAAGAACCACTTTTTTTTTTTTTTTGTATAAAATGCATCACCTGGGGCTTACTGTGATCTGCAGTTAAGTCACATCTGAGTCCCTGGCTCCACAGAGCAGGGCCGTGAGTGCTAAAGAGATGGTCCAACAGCAATAAAATGTGACAGATGTCAAGTCTGAAAATGCTGTGGCCATGACCTCAAACTGTCTAGGCCTGTGCACAGCTGATTATAATATTAAAGCTCTGCTCCTGCTCCCGGGGCCAAATTTCCATTCCCAACTTGTCTTTGTTTTGGCAGGACCTGGACTACCTGATGCCACGCAGATGAATTCTTAGGCCCGTTAGGTCATATGGATTTGGGCTGCTCCGCGTTTGTTTTATGGCCCCGAGCACACGAGACTGCTTTATGGCGACGTTTACATTTGAGAAAGGGGCCTGAAGGCCATCCATCACTTCCCAAGTGTCTGAGAAGCAAAGGGTGTGGACTCATATATATTATTTCACGTCTAGGAAAGATCTCAGGGCGGCCTGCTGCTTCCGTAATCCAGCACGTCGGCCTCTCAACCTGTTTTCCTCCTGCTGTCGTGTTAAGGGAGCCGATCTATGCACGAACTGCATTTTATAAGGTGACTGGGTCGTTTACTGCCTGCTTGAAAGTAGAAGGCAATAAAAACCAGCTTGGGAAGCTGGGCAAAGTGGGGAAGCCGAATCTGCCGCCCGTTCTGGAATGAAGCAAAACGGCCCCTGCCATCTTCCTCCGGTCCGGTCCAGGGGCGGCAAGGTTTAGATCTGGATCCGGGTTTGGACTCTGAAGCCGTCGTGTAGGGGATGCGAGAGGTGAGGGCACGGGCTGGAGACTGGGGTTCACACGGAGCAAGTTCCTTGGTCTTTCTGAGCAACATTTCCCTCCTGCCCGGCTGCAGAGCAGCTGTAATATGAAGGGTCACAAGCGAAGTCGGGTTTGAGCCCAGGTTTCATAAACTGGCTTTTAACAAATGCCCTTGGATATACTCAATCGACATCTGGGAAAGAACCAGCCGCCTATAACTAAAACGCGGTTGTGCTGCGAAGACTGCCGCTGATGCCGTGAGCTCAAATGGCTCAAGTATGATGAGGATCCGGCTCCAGGACATCTCCTTAACGCTACCAGCCGGGTTTTGTTTTGCTTTGATTTTTGCCAGTCTCTCGGTCCAAACAGACTTGAGTTTGATGAACGAGGGACATAGCGTCCCGTCGAAACGGGGAGGGAGAAGAATATGATCTTGCCCCCGCTCACCGGAAAAGGCGACTCACTGGCTAAAACAGGAACGGTGGTGGTAAAGTGTTGGCAGCAGTTCACAAGGCCAGCCTGAAACTGCACTCAAGGATTAAAGGCAAATACTTTGACTCAGCGGGGCTGGTTTTCATTTTGCTGCCTGAAGATCAGCTAGGCTTCAAAGCCGCTTTTATGCAGCTGCAACCTCTCCGCTGGCTTGCTGTCCCCTCGCGCCGCGCTCAGACACCGGGGACGTTGTGAAGAGCAAAAGAAAGCAAATACGAGTCTTCGAAGCCCTGTACACATCCGTTGTCAGTGCAGCTGATCCTCAGCAAGCGACCCAGCGGGTTTCGGGGCAGAGCGCGCAGAGGGGGGGAGCTGAGGGAATCAGCAACCGCAGCCGCGGGGTTTCTGCAGGAGCGAGCAGCGTGTGTTCAGCTCGGGAGAAGCGTGGCTGTGCGCGGTGCAGAGTGGCAGTGCCGTCGGGTGCTTGACCGCCAGATTTGACGCCCAGTCCCCTCCTGCGGGCTCTTCCCAAATGCTGCCAGATCTTGCCAGCCCACCAGGACCACCTCCATCCTCCAAAGAGGATGGAGATAGACTGCTCTGACAGGACAAGGAGCAATGGGCTCAAGTTGCAGCAGGGGAAGTTCGAGTTGGATTTTAGGAACAACTTTCTCACGAGGAGGGCGGTGAAGCACTGGGACGGGTCACCCAGAGAGGTGGTGGAGTCACCATCCTTGGAGGTGTTTAAGACCCGGCTGGCCAAAGCCCTGGCTGGGATGATTGAGTTGGGGCTGGTCCTGCTTGGAGCAGGGGGTTGGACTAGATGTGGCCTCCTGAGGTCCCTTCCCAGCCTCATGGTCTATGATTTTGCTGTCACAGACCCCTCCGCGGGCCCTGGCCAGGGGACAGTGCTTTCCCCGTGGGGAAGGGGGTGGCCACCTCAGAGCACCGCATTTCACGTGAATAATTATTAACTTCTATTTACCTTTGCCTTGGCTCGGAAGAAGGGGTAGCTAACATTGCACACCTTCTTGTTCAGGTGCTTCTCCTCCGTCACGCACTCGATATTGATGTCGGCATCGTCCTGAAACGGGAACGGACCGTGTTCACATCACCAGATACGGCTGCCCAAAGCCCCCCCAACAACCCCAGACCTCGGAGCCATTCGCACCGGCTGGAGGACCTTCTAGCTTATGATGAAAAAAAATGAAACGGCATCTCTCGGAAGCCAGAAATCCTTCCCGTTCGGGTCTGTTCTGGACTCACAGCTGCAGAGCGGGCCCTGCCCAAATCTAGTTGGGTGAGCGAGATACGCTGACTCAAACTGAGTATTTTTTGGAACCAAAGTCACAAAGAAGACTCTCTTTCTATGATCCAAGGTAGTAAGGCACTATCACATAGGGGCCACATCCTAGCGATAATGCATTTAGTTGGACTGTAAATTCTTTTGGGACATCTTTTTAGTCCACATTTCTATGTCACGCACAGTGATCCCCCAGTCCACGACTCTGGCTGCTAGATGCTATCACAATACAGAGAACAATTAACAACACAGTAATAAGACAGATATTCTCATCAATCATTTATTGCTGCACTGTGTGATAGGAAAGAGCCAATAATACATCCCCTTGCCTTTGTCTGTTTAGGCTTTTGGATGTCTAGGCCAAATATGGGCTCTTTTTATGTGTTTGTATAGACCCTACAAGAATCCCTGACCTCAACAGCAAACTCTAAGTGCTCTTGTTATGCTCCGTATGTACTGGTAGATGTTTTTATGCAAGACCAGTAATTTGGAGCACAACAGCACAGCTGAGCATTTATATCTGGGTAAAACGATTTCTACAGGCTCATCTGTGTCATGCTGTCCCTGTCTCCCCTGGTATTTGGGAGTCATCTACTAAAGAATGCATAGTAGCCCCCTGCATTTTTCTTATTTTGTGGGCACCGCATCCTGCAATTTTCCTTTGGCGTGACTTTTAAACCAACAGGCGCAAGACACTCGATACCCAGGATGGTTATGAAGTCATTCAGTGGATGAATGAAGACTCAGCAAGATCAGCACATTTACCAACATGCTGGATTCGGGGTTTTCTCCCCCCCAGGAATTCCCCTGGGCGCTTGTTAAATGGCGACGCGCAGCGCCGTGCGCCCTCAGATGTTTACTGAGCAGGATTGGGGCGCTTCGTGGCTCTGATGCTAGGGCTGGGACGGCAGGACAAGGGGGAAGGATCCTAGGGGTGCCGGGGAAAGGGAGGGGAAGCTGAGCTCTTTGAGAGCCAGGGATAAAAAGTGAGTCCCCTCACCAGAAGCGTGAAGGCCTTACCGGGTGATGCACGGATGCCGCAGTGCGAGCGTTGCATGGACGCCAGCAGACAGGGAGTGATGACCCGGGAACAGGCTGCATGAGCCCGGTGTGAATGGTGGTGCATTCACCACGGAGCTCGATGCAGAAGGAAAACCAAGCCAGAAACACAAGACTAAGGGACCATTGCCCAACCCTCAGCCAGACTCTTGCTAAGATGAGAGGCGTTAGGTGAGGGAGTCAGCGAGAAGCTGCTTGCTGGGACTGAACGAGAGGCTCAGGGGTGCCTTCCTGGGGTAGGGTAGAGACGGGCTTGGGTGGCAAAGCAAGGACAAGAGATGGGAGGAGTGAGAGGTATGCCTTTAGCTTTGGCTTGGTGCCTTAAAGGCACATTCATACTGTTTCCAGGCTGAACTTGGGAGCGCCCCCAGGTAAACCTCACACTGCACCTCCCAATCACCTCTTGTGGGGGTAACCCTGGCACCAGACAGCCCCTGCCATGCAGCAGGAAACCCTAAAGTCTCCTAGACAGGGTCTGTTATCACATCCAGATGGAGATGGGTCACCAAATCCAGACTGTTCAATGAAAAATGTGTGTGTGTCACTGGAAACCTCCCTCCCCGCCGTGGTCTCTAAGCAGGACATGCTGCTCAGGGGACCCAGAAGATGCGAGCCCACATCTGGAGCTAAGCTAGCAGCAGCTGCCTTGGCAAGAGCACTGCCTGCAATTGTGGTTCTGGGCGAACAAAAGAGCTCTGCTCTTGACCATGAAGGGGCTTGAGGTTAGGCGTGGAAACGCTGCCTCACTCTATCCCCCGTGGAGGATGCCGGATGACAGAGCGGGTGACACTGCTCCTGCCATACGATGCTTAGAGGTGATTTTTTTTAAAGGCATTCCCAGGCTGTTCTGTTGAGCTGACTTTGAGCTGCGTCCTAAAAGCCCCGACTGATGCACAGATGCTTGGACCAGACTCCCCGTTCGCGGAGCGGCTGCGGTGCAGTATTGCAATGGCATCAACAGGCCTGTCTCTAACTTACAGCTGGGTTTCCATTATCAGCCCATCTTGCAGGGGAGTTGCAACTCAGCTGCAAAAATTTATATACTAACTCGGACTTGGCCACCCGCCCCTGCAGCTTGGGAGCAAATATCGTTTAAGTTATAGGACAGCGAAACCAAAAAGGGAACCGAATTTATCAACCTTGGACTTGGCTGTTGGCTCTTGCATATAAGAAACATTTTTATATTGCAAAAACAAAGGGCCGAAGGTACCTAATAACTCAACCCATTAAAAACTGGCCAACCTCTCTGGGACAGGGCAGCGACTGACTTCAGCTCAGCACCAGGTGTTTTGAAGCAAAGTGCAGGATCTCTTACAATAGACATAACAGACAAGCCAACACATGGACGCTTTTCCCCCCATCACCGAGCATGGAAGTTGATATCCTGCATTGCTCTTTTCATCATCTCTGATGTAATTATGGAAAAGATGCTTATGAGCAGCAGAAGTGTCCACTTCTGGGCCCAGCTGTTACCAGGCAGCTCAGGGACTGCAGTCGAAACTACCTGCCCTTCTTCATAGCACAGATGTGACTTTGGGCTGGGTTAAGAGGGACGTTTGGTCAACAACGCCATGGACTGCTCTTCTGTTTTAGCCATCCGCACAGGAATAAGCAGCTGCATCTATTGCTCCCTATTATAATTTGGATAAGGAAAGATCTAATCTGTCCCCTGAGTACTTAGCTGAAGGATGGGGCACGGGTAGCATGGATGAAGAATGTAACGCTTTTTTTGTTAAGGTTTCAGTCCTGTCTCCGAGGCATTCAGTGGCTGAGCCCTGGGTATCTAAAGCCTCCCTAAAGCTGTGAGATGAAGACAGTGGATGACAGAGGGTCCCTGAGCACAACGGGACTTTCTACAGCAAGGGCAAGGCTGGCTTGTGGGAGGATGGGACTTTCCCGGGTTGCATGGCGTGAACCCCTCTGAAGCTCTTAAGGCCGCTAGAGCTAATGGCGAAACCCAACCAGCTTCCAGAGGCCGCACCAGCAACGCGAGAGGCTAGTTGGAGTAATAGTAACAAATGCTTTTCAATAAGGAATCAGCAGGAATAAATGCTTTTTGGTGCCCCTCACTTCTTTTGTAACTGGCCACGACTCGTCCCCAAGACAGGCGTGATTAGATCTGGAGACGGTGTAAGGGTGCATGAGCAGCAGCTGCAGAAAGACACTCTCGCCTGTGGCAGGTGCCTTCAGTCCCCTGGACGCACCGCTGCTGACCTCAGGGTAGCTGTTCTCAGGCCAAAAACTGTTTAAAACCAGTTTGAATGGGAAATAGTGGAAAAAGAAATCATCCACAGACTGGACTGGGCTAAGTACGGGTTAAACAGGGATCGTGATGTCTTATCTCATTCCCTCCCGGGCTGCTGCCAGGCTGCCCGCATGGGCTGCCTGCAGTCCCTGAACTGCACGGAGCCCGGTGCTCTGCTTCGCGGCTGTGGGGCAGCAAACTAAAACTCCCTGGAGGTGTTTTTGTTTGCTGTGCTCCCAAAGTCATTTAAGGTGCATTACACCGCCAAATGTGCTAAAACAGCTGGAAATAATGCACAATGCACCGCCGACACGTGCAAACACCAACACCATTAAAGCGGTGCAAAAGCACTTAACCTACTTTAAAGTGTCATGCACACATGCCCCTCATTTTGTCTACACATGCCCCTTGTTCCCAGCTTTTGTTCCCTGTCCTCCCTCCCTCCTGCTCTTCTAGTCTAACCACTCCACTTTACATTGCTCTGTGCTGTCCTTTCACAGCATCTGATGAAGTGAACTTGGGTTCAGGAGAGCTTGTGCTCTCTCTACATATGTCAAATCTGGTGGGTCTATAAAGGTGCATCTCTACCCTGCCTTCTGCCTGGTCTAGAGAAGCCCCATGGTGTCTTACCCTCTGAATCAAGCTGGCAAACTGGAGGTTTTTGGAGAAGGAGATGTTGAGGACGGTGCTGTAGGCGTTTTCGCCCTTGTTCTCCAGTATGGCTTCCACAGCCACCCTTCGCCTCGTGCTCTCGATGATGAAAATGGAGGTGTCGAAGGAGAGGGTGTAGACGGAGCAGTCCGAGTGCGACTTGCGGAGCACCCGGTGGCAGTATTCCCTGCAAGAGAAGTGAAGTGATACCAGAGAGGATCAGGCCTTCATGAGCCCATGGGGACGTGTTTCAGCATACAGCTCCGGAGCTGCAATCTGTGGCTCTTTCTGCACCTAAGAGCACGGCAGCATGTGCTGTCTGTACCCACCGACATAGCACCCTGAGCTGAGAGCTGTTCCAACAAAGTATGCGGACATTTACTCATACTTCATTTAATCTGGTTATATGAATGGGTCACAGATTCATAGAAGTAGGGTCAGAAGGGACCTCAACAAATCATTAAGTCCGACCCCTGCCTGGGCAGGAAAGAGCGCTGGGGTCAGATACTGGGGTCAGTTTGCAATACCAGACATTCAGCACTTGCTTGGGAGATTACCTGTAAAATGGTGTGTGTGTTTGATCCCCTGCACCCAAAATTACGCAGGCCAAGCTCTTTAAACTAGCCCCTCAGGTATGTGCCAATGATGTGCATCATCAGCAAACCTCAGGTATAAGTTGGCATTTGACTTGGTCATGTGGCTACCAAATGGCACACAAAAATGCATGTGGTGCTGTTGTTGCCATATTGTTGCCTGAACTTAATCACAGATGATGAGGGTGGCAGGGAGCTCAGTGCTGAATAGAGGGGAGAATCACTGCCCTCCATCTGCCGGCGATGCTCCTACCCATGCAACCCAGGATGTCGGTCGCCTTCTCAGCAACAAGGACACACTGCTGGTTCATCTCCAGCTTCTTGTCCACTGTCCCCGCCAGGTCCTTGGCTGCAGAGCTGTTGCCCAGCCAGTCAGTCCCCACTCTGTACCAATGTATGAGATTGCAGAACTTTGCCCTTGTGCTTGTTGAACCTCATGAGATTTCTTTTGGCCCAGTCCTCTAATATATCGAGGTCAGTCTGAATCCTAGCCCTACCCTCCAGCATACCTACTACTCCCCCCAGTTTGGTGTCATCCACACACTTGCTGAAGGTACACAACATCCCATCTTCCAGGTCGCTGATGAAGATATTGAACAAAACCGTCTCCAAGACCGACCCCTGGGGCACTCCACTCAATACTGGCTGCCAACTAGACATCCAGCCATTGATTACTGCTCTCTGAGTCCAATAATCCAGCCAATTTTCTATCCATCTTACAGTCCATTCATCCAACCCATACTTCCTTAGCTTGCTTGTAAGAAAGTTGTGGGAGACCATGTCAGAAGCCTTGCTAAAGTCAAGGTATATCACACCCCCTGCTCTCCCCTCATCCACAGAGCCAGTCATCTCATTGCAGAAGGCAATCAGGTTGGTCAGGTGCGACTTGAACTTGGTGGATCCATGCTGACTGCTCCTCATCACCTTCTCCTTCAAGTGCTCAGACATGGATGCCTTGAGGCCCTGCTCCATGATTTTTCCAGGGACTGAGATGAGGTCGACCAGTCTGGAGTTCTCCAGATCCTCCTTCTTCCCTGTTGTAAAGATGGGCACTATATTTTTCCTTTTCTGATTGTCTGGGACTTCTCCCAGTCACCATGAGTTTTGGCAATAATGGCCAGCAGCTCCACAATCACAGCGGTCGACTCTCTCAGCACCCTTGGGCATTGCGTCTCGTCCCATCGACTTATCCACATCCAGCTTTTCAAGTCCTTACCCTGTCCTTTCACCACTTGGCTGCTCACCTTCTCCCCAAACTGTGCTGCCTGGTGCACAAGTCTGGGAGTTGACCTTGCCTGTGATGATGGAGGTGAAAAAGGCATTGAGCTCTTCAGGCTTTTCTGCATCATCTGCCACTAGGTTGCCTTGCACGCTTTCCCCCCTCTTTCTTTTGCGGCCGAGGAAGCATCTAGGTGGTGGCACTGAAGTCATGAAAGTGGCTTGGGCACAAATAGACGCTTCTTTGAAGAGCGCATTTATTCTACAATTTAAGCATAAGATCAGCAGAAACCTTCCCCAAGTTAAGACACAACAGAAACTTTGCACAAGTCTTAGGTCGACCTGAGGACAGAGCATCTTCCTGCAGCTGGCCAGGTGTTCGGGTGTCTCTGGGATTTGCAGTTCTTCTTGGCAGGTGTGGTGAGGGTCCACAGCTTTCACTTTTGCTTGCTCTTTTATGGGTGATCTGCACCCCTTCTCCTCTTGGGCTGCCTTGATCATGGCATGTCTCGTGCTCCTCTCATGACGTTTTCCTGGCCTTGTTTTTGTCCCTCTTAGGATGGTTATCTGTTGGTTTTATAGCGACCTGGGTTTTCCCAGGTCTTCTCACTTCTCTGATATGTGTGGTCCTGCTTATAGCAATCCTACTGCTCACTCACGTGCTTTGACATCTAATCTGCAGCAGCCCTGTGTTTCCATAGGTCATGTAGGTTATCGGCTCAAAAATGCCCCCTCCAGCTACAGAAGGGAAGGGCCCCGAACGATTATGACTCTGCTGTGCCGTTTGCCGCCAACGTCCTGTTTTGTATAGGAGGCTGCTTGCGGGAAGGTTTGGCAGGCAGAGAAATCAGAGCCTGTGTTTGAACATCTGGACCTACTGGCTTACAAACCTGATATTTCCCCTTATCACCAAGATAAAGAGAGCAAGAAATACACGTCTCTTGGTGTCCACGATAGTGCAAGTAACTGCCTGGAGTCCCTGTCAAGTCCCAGGCTGGTCTGCAAGGAAAGGAGCTGTATGTTTCTCATACAGACTGGATGCAAGCTCTGTTTTGCTGAGATCGTCAGGTAATGCTGCCGGGTCTCCCTATTATCTCCTAATAAAACATAGCACTGACGAGGAAGAAAGAGGTCTGATATCAAAATACCGTATTTCCCTGTGTATGACGCACACGTCCCCCCTGAAAATCAGCTGCTGGAAATTGGGGGGGAGGGGGTGCATTATAATTGAGGAAATATAAGAGCAGTTTCTGTTGCTTAAACCTCTATCAAGGGAGAACAAGAATAAAGCTGGCTGCTGGGTGTTACCACTTTCTGCCCCCATCAACCCTCCCACTGGTGGAGACTCACAAGGAAAAACCCTTTCTTTCTTCATTCTGCTTTTCAAAAACAAAGCATATATTTATTTGGAGCACGCTGTAGGCATGACAATACGGTATAAGGTAAATGTGATGCTTAGCTTCAGTGTCGTTGCCCCAGATCCTCTCCCTAGTATACGTTTGTTGATAGCAAGAGTCCCACCAGAGAAGGGGCTGGGCTCTGTTACAGCAACAAGCAAAATACCCTCTTTGCAGCCTTTTCGACGCATGCATCACTTCTATTTTGTAAAATAAAAACAGAAAGGAAAGGAAGGGGAAAAGGGAGCGAGCTGGAGGTGGGCTTGCACGCTGCTGGTCGAGTGACCACAACAGTGTTTAGCAACAGAGACTTATTCTGTTTGCTTTTCTTGGCCCAAACAATCACTGTATATATTTCTCTTTAGGGCCTGATTCAGCCTCCACTGTTGTCAGTGGACACTTGGTGCACACCAGCATCAATCTCAATGACCATACTCATATTGAGGTGAGTGGGGCCAAAACATTGAGCATGGGCAATTGCCATACAGCCATAAAGACTGTGATTAAGGTCCCCCCACCACCTCTTCTTCAGCTCAGGAGGGCTCAGGGACTGTGTTTGCAGTCGGGGACCACTGCTTTGAGGCCACGACACAACTTTATCTGGGAATATCCTGCATGGGTTTACGCCCTGTGCAACCATGGCTGACTCTCCCGCGAGCCATTGCCCCTGATCCGGTGCACGGGTTCCTAGAAAGCTGGCGCGCACGTTCAGCATCCGAGCACGTTTTCCTAAGCCCGGTAGACCTGGGATTTCGTGACCGCAGCATGGGCAGCCAGGCCACACAGCAAAGCAGAAGAAAATCGGAGCGGTGTCACAGCTGGGCACGGCTTTGCTTCTAATGCCGCACCGATGGGGAAGGAGTCAGAGGAAAGGAGGACGCCTGCTTTTGCTGGAGAGGGAAACATCTACCTTGGAGGGCTGGGGGTGGGCTGGAGTTTATAGCAAACCAGGCTATAGCTCACTCCCCTACCAAGCACCGAGCCTGGGTTTTAACCTAAAGGTCCAGCTGTGTTAGGGGACGGATGGAAATGCTCCCTGCAGCTCCAGGATGCTGTACAAGCATTTCAAATCCTTTCAAGCACAAGGGCTCTTTTAGGCTGAAACGTGACTTGGAATCGCAGAGCCGTGAGGATTGTATTACAGGAACCAAAAATAAACTCAGGGAGCGTGGATCCAGCCTCCCGGCCTGATCCCAACCCAGCGCAGGCACTGATTTCAGCTGGCCCTGGAGGGGACTCTTACTCTCCCGTAGCTTTTTAGTATGAAGTATTTGGAAGTGCTCACAGAAGACAAGACATCCGCTGCGGGGCACGTCAAGCCCCCAATTGCCCAGTGGGTAACGCTGGCTTTCTCCCTTTTATTTACTGCTTGGTTTCCTTGGGGTCTGTTTTCCTGGCACCAAACACAAAGTTTATCGTATCAGTCACCAACAAGTCCCAGTATTGTGCCCAGAAAGACACTGTCTCCTGGAGAGGAAGCCCACAGCTCTGGAACGAAGGCAGCGGGCAGAGGAGAGGAAAAGGATGGGAATCTCCCGGCTTTTGCCAGGAAGCATTTCAGTCAAACCAAAGACGATAAGTAAAGGGGAAAAGTGAAAATGAATGAAGCGTGCAGAGGCGCAGAAGCAGAATTGCCACGGGATGTCGTTAAGGCCGAGAGCTTGGCAGGGAGGAACTGGAAAATCGCCCGATTTCCACGTAGTGACAATAAGCCCTGGAAAGGATCTCGAACATCCTACTTGACGGCTTCGCCAACATCTCGCTGACAGTGGTTGGGATGAGACCTGCCACGGGGGAAGAGCGTCCCGCATTTCTTCCGCCTTCTTCTCAAGCAAGTGGGGCTGGGACTGTTAGAAGTGGGAGACTGGTTCATACAGACCTCAAAGCAGGGACTGGGGATTATAAAAGCAACAGGGCATGAATTACTGTCAGAAAGCAGACTTCCAGCGGCCAGCAGATTTCCAGGCATCCTCCAGCTGGCTGCATTTTAAGCCACTTTCTTTGGAGAAGCAGGCAGAGGAGCTGACTTTCTCAGCTCTTGGTGCTAAGGCTGGAGACCCAGCTCTGCGGGTTGCTAGCTCGTCTGCTTTAGATACGAGGTAAGCCCGCAGCAATGTGGTCGGAGCTTGCAAAGGGAACCCAAATGAATGCATCGCCGGGCACAGAGCTGCTATGCCTCTGAAATCTGTCATAAGGAACAGCCCAGCAACCCCGAGAAACAAAAGCTCATCAGTTTTGATAAACCCTTATGAAACCAAGAGAAAATGTGATGCACGTGCTAACCAGAGCTTTGCGGTTATCCAGATGCAGGCATGCTCTGCATTGCGATTGAGCTTGTCATTTGTAAACACCCCGCAGATGCGCTCGCTTGCTTAGCCACGGGTAAGAGATGATCAACCCCAGTGCAAAGGAAGAAAAGACGAAGCAAGGACACTTCCAGAGTTCAGGACAAATCCCTCTGGCAGGAAGAAACCTGGCCATGTGCTGAGGTCAGATATCTGCCCTGTTCTGGGTGGGGAACAGGGCATTTCTCACTGGGCCATCTACTCACATGGCACTCGGGATATCGGTTCTGGCATCAAGGAAGAGGTCAGGGACGCAGTGCTCATCCTCATTGCATCCGTTCCAGAAAGGCACCTCGAGGGGGAAAGACAAGAAACGTTGAAATAAACCTGTCTTTGCCTGATGCCTGCGGAGTGGATTTCGCACAGGCTCTGTGCGCATCAGCTGAGCAAAACCCAGGGCTTAAATGGTTCAAAAACCCCACAGTACAAATAAAGAATGCCAAAAGTACCACATCAATAATATGCAATGCAGACTAACAGGAAAGGCATCCTCTGGCTCGTCTCCCTGGGTGGAAGCTAAAGGTGCAGCGCGCTGCACTGAGGGGGAAGCTAGCCGACCAAGGTTATCATTCAGCTTGCTTTTGCTTTGCATTTTTAATTCCCCTGCAAAGCACAGATGGCTCCATTCATTAGTACAGATCATAAACCAACTGGGAGGACTTCATGCTTTATTTCTACACAGCAGCGATGGCCGTGAGGATCCTTAGAAATCTGCCGGAGAACAGCCGGTAAAGCTCTGTCATTGTTTGAGTTGAGTTGTGCTAGTTTAAACCAGGCATGGATCTGACCTAAAATGTTTAGAGAGAGAAGGCCGTTTCGAGATGAACCTTATAGACTAACTGATCCAGAGATGCATGAGCTTGTGTGATCAACAGCTTCTGTGATCTGACGAACGCTTTGCTCATGAAATCTTATGCACCTCTGATTCAGTTAGTCTGGAAGGTGCATCCTGCCTGACTTCAGACTAACATACCTAACTCCCTCTCTCCATTTAGAGTTAGTCATACCGGTCTCTCTTTATGGCCTGAGAGACCAGACAGTACTTCACCCACTCATATCGGTACCCAGGCTGCACATCAGGGCTCGCTTCATTCCCCACAGAAGCAACGTCCTTGGATAACGTGGTGACTATGTAGGAGACCGCAGCAACATGCCACGGCAGCTCAGTGTCAGGGAAGTGAGCCTGGGACAGGAAGTGAAGAATAGCGCAACCATCAGAAATTGCCCGGGCATCTGGATCTGAAAACAGCAGAGTGCAATTGCCCCAGGTAGACGCTGGGACTCCTCCTGCAGAAAGCAGGGCAGAGCTGCACCTTAGAGACTCGCTAAATCCAAGATGCATCAGCTTTCATGAGCAACAGCTCGCTTCAACAGATGCTATGGGAAATTGCCCCGTGCAAGGGAAGGGAATGTCATAGACTCATAGAAAATGAGGGTTGGAAGAGATCTCAGGAGGTCACATCTAGTCCAACCCCCTGCTCAAATTTCCCTTTGTAGCATCTGTTGAAGTAAGCTGTTGCTTATGCAATCGATGCACCTTGGATTTAGCTGGTCTACAAGCTGGAAAGCCAGCTGCTTGCACTCCTCACTGAAATGCATGCCTCACACGCCAGCAGCCCCACAGCCAGCAACCTCATGGGTGATATGCAAGTATGAGA